TATAATTTTAGTTAAGCAAAAATAAGTTTACTTTAGTAAAAATAAGTTTAGTTCAGTAAAAATCAGTTACTTTAAAGAAAAAATATAACAGAAAATCAGTAAAAATAATTTTAGTTCAACAAAATAATTTCAATCCAGTAAAATTAATTTAAGTTCAGCAAAATTAATTTCAATTCATTAAAAATAATTTAAGTTCAGCAAAAATAAGGTGAAATAAACAGTACAATAAAATACGAGTTATAACATGGACCACCATTTACCCCCAACTTTCCCTAATATGTGGAGGAGCCCGACTACTACTAAGCTCCTACTTGTCACTACATTTATCACTAATCTAAAAAGTCACCACCTCAAATAAGCCATCATTTGTATGCAATCGCCATTTACGAAGTGACAACTCAAATATATTAATTACCACTTTCCTTTTTTTTTTTTTTTTTTACACAAATTACCACTTTTTTTTATCCCTCAAAACATTCTAACTTTTCCTTTTTTCTAATACTATTATATATTCTAATGTTGTTGATCTCTCAATTATAACACACTTACCATGGTCTCTCCTCAATACCAACAAAATTTCCACAACTCCATTTATATTTTACCTCCCTTAATCCCCCACCTATACCACAAATTAAGAAAAAAAAAATAATATAGGTAGATCTGTTAAAGGACCAATGTTTAGGGTAAAAATACCCTATGCCACGTGGCCCAGTAGAATCATGACACGTGGCAGCCCACCAGAGGCTCAACGGGATCCAATCGGATGCTAACACGTGGCATCAAAACCCTAATCAGGGAACATGTCTCCCCCACTATAAATAGAGGAATCCTCCTCATTTATTGGGCATTCACAAATACATACACAAAACCCGAGCAATATTAATTGTGGAATCTCTCTGAATCAGGGAGTAATACCTATTTACTTTTCGCCTGCTTACCCACCCGTAAATCATACTAACTTGATCGTCGGAGGCGGAACTCCACCCAATTGGAGTTTCGTGGTTTTGCAGGTACAGAAGTCAGGCGCGCATACTCCGTATCGTAACTCTCCCGAAGGACTAAAAACACCCGAAACAACCAACTCAACCAAACGCTTAAATTAGTGGTTGAAATCCAGGATCGATTTTGGTTGAAGCCTAGGATCAGTTTATATACACTATCTATTTCTTCTTATAAATTTACACTCGTAATGTATTTTTTGAATATTAATAATAATAATTGCTTTTCATTTATTTTTCAATTCTTTTTACATGTAATAAAATGTCATCATGTTTAAATTAAACAATCTTTACTCGTGGTTTGGGCTTTGGCCTATAAACACATTTTTGTTAGGAAAGCCCCTTATAATTGACAATTATGACAAGGACATCAAAATTTAACAAATAAGGTAAACGTAGAAATCAATTAAAATAATTGTTACTTAAATATCATATTTGTTTCTCTTAATGATTTTTATACTATATAATATAATTCATCTGTTTACTTTCTTTAATTCATTCCTTAAATAAGTTAAATTGCATCATAATGGATTACGAAGTATTATGCATGTAAATAAAAGCAGAAGAAATACATTATCATACTCCGTAAGTCATATATTCTTAACTTTATACTTTTTTTTAGGGGATTCTTCACTTTAAACTTGTTTAAATAGTTAATATACTAATAATAAGAATAATAAAATCATAAGCCAACGAAAATATAGAAAGAAAAAATATTGCCTTGTGGAAGAAGCATAAATTCATTAAATAGAAGGTAGGAAAAAAAAAGAAAAATAAAGGGAAGTAATAGTATAGAAAGATGGTAGGTTCTAATAATCGAAGCCAAAATAAGGAAACAAATAATCTTACACTAGATGAAGCCCATGCAATATATTTTTCAAATAAAATATTTTACTAAATATATATATTTATCTAATAAATTTTGTTTCACTTGCTTACTACTTGAATTTTTTTATTGTAAAATGAATTATTAACTTTTTTTTCTTCTCATATTTAGATAAAATTTGTAATATAAATAGATAATATTTGATTTTACAAAGTTTCATATGGAGCTGGTGCTGGTCACACCGTGTGGTCGGGATTACTTAGTAAGGAGTTACATGGTTGATCAAGGGTTACTCAATTGACCAGGAGTTACTCGGCCAGTGTTTGGGTGTGTCTCATTCGGCCACACGATATGACCAATCACACAAAAAACGCACTGATTTTATTTTTATAATTAATAAAAAAATTTGATCAAAAATAAATTGCAATTCTTTTTTTTTCATTGGCAAAATATAATTATAACATTTTCTTATGTGACGCTCTAAAATTAATCTTACGTAACATAATCCTATTCAAGCGTTTTAAAATTAATAATCTTATGGCTTTTTTATTATTATCTTACGTAGCGCTTTAAAAAAACTAATCTAATGTCATAATTGATGGTAGCGTTCTAAAAATATTAGTCCTAATTCCTAAGTGGCGCTCTAATAATTCTTTAAAATATAAAATCTTAGGTGACGCTCTAAAAATTCAGAAAATAAACTTCCCATATCTCGTGAAATATTCTCTCTCTTCATCTAAAAAGCTCCTCACCTCTTTATTAAAACAAACAAACAAGCGGATTAAATACAAATAAAAAAATCTTCAAGGATAAGCCGGCACTTATAAGCCACGTGTTGTACCCACGCAACATCGACAAACTGATTGGCTACCCCTGCCACATGCTACCCTACTTCACATCCTCTATAGCTCCATTATTTATATCCAGATAAAATTTAATTCAATAATTTATCATTTTTTCTTAAGAAAATTAAATTATCGTAACGCATTTTGTTTGTAGTTTACCACGTCAAGTTGCCTGTTCGTTAAAAAATAAAGTAATCACTGATTGAGTAATCTATGTAATATTAGTTGAATAACTTTTATAACACTAACCGATGTCATTTCTATAATTTAGACGAAAAAACCTATAACACTAACGGATAATGACTGGCCACACTGAGACACTTATTATTCATTTATATATATATATGAAAAATGGGTTACAAGAGCATTACAAAATACTGAATACAATGAGGGTGGGGATTAGAGCATGTGACCTATCGTACACAAATCTTCACTCTTAATCACTACGCCAAGATCCCATCGTTCCATTTAGACTCAAGTTGTTGGATGGACAAATGGACAATGGTTGTATTTTTGTGTGAATAAATATTTATTGTATGTCTTACTATACCTTCTTTTTCTATTGTGAAAAAATTATAGGAATGATTGTATTTTTATTGAAAATTAAACAAAATAATGTTGGGGGATAAACCATATACAAGACTTTGTATGTTGTTGTGTTTCACTCATTATATTGTAGTAAAACACAAAAACCACTGCACCTTCCACAAATATTTAAGGTGGGTAATATTCATCTTTTGGAAAAAAATAAAATAAAAAATAGCATAAAATAATTATTTTGAAACATCATAAAAGAAAATGGAAAAATTATGTTGTAAGATCCAAAAATAAAACGAAAAAATTATAATTGAACAAAGGAAGAACTATTGCTATTATTATACGGATTGGAATATCTTGTTTTAATTTGAAAAATGGTACAGAGTATAAATCTATGTAGTATATTGGTCAAGTCCAAATAATTCCACTTGTATATAGATTGATATTTTTTTTGAAAAACCTATATAGATTGATATTTGTGATATGCTTTATTGCTTCCCATCTATAATGGGATTTTTTTATAATCAAAGTATTTGGAAAAAAAAGTTTGATAATCAGTTTTTATTTTAACGAAACAAATTTACAACATATTGAGTAAATGTTTGATTGATGTTTTTTTTTTTAATTATTTTTATTTGATTCTAAAATGCCTTTGTTTTTACATCTAAGATATGATCTTAACTAATATATATTTCATCTGTACTCTTATCAATCTTAAAAAAATAAATCAATCAAGATATATTTATACCAAAGCTAAAGCTATATCATGTATCATTACAATAAGGAATTAAAATTAATTTATGCAGTAAAATCTAGGCAAAGCTAATAAAGCATTTTATGCCTTCACGGGCTCTAAACTAGGTGATTATTTACGTATAACTCATAACCTTTACGGATATATATACTCATACTATAATGACAAAAATAATATGGAATACTGCCTTATAATTTAAAGGCAAAATTACAATTATTAACATCAATTTTGTGAAGTTTTGCAATTATTGATACCAACTTATATCACTTGCTAAATTGACACCAATTTGCTACAAAAATTACAAAATTGACATAAATGACACTAAATAACTAATTTTACGTTTTTTTTTTTTTTTTTTTTTGACAATGGCAAATAACTAATTTTACATTACTTTCAACCTTTGTACAAGTATAAAATTCCTTTTCAACGATCATTTGCTTTAAAAAGTTCTTAATGTGATGAAAATATAAGAATATATAAATGTCATATGTAGAGCATTATTGAATGTTTAGTGCCTTTAATGTCAATTATTCTTTTTTAGGCAATTTGGTGTCAATTTAACAAGTGATACAAGTTCGTGTCAATATTTACTACATACCTTTAAGTTGATGTCAATGAGTGTAATTTTGCCTAATTTAAAAGGATTATAATGAAAATTACTAACATAATGAATTTTTTTAGAAAGAAATCTAATTATTAATAAAATAATGAAAATTTGTATACAAAGAAATAAAAAAATATCTCACACAATAATATATTTACCAAATTTAGAATAAATACACACCATTGTCTTCATTAAAATTCAAGGGGTCAAAGTTTACAAACTTTAATTAAGTAAATTTTTAGTATTATTATTATTTTTTTTTTTAAAAAAAAAAGAAAGAAAGATGGGAAGGAGTAATTATTTTAACATATCTGACAGCCCAGTTATCTTATCATGTATCATCTTGGTTCGCAAGTAGAGTAATTTCTTCTTTACAAATCACTCTATCCTTTACCTTATAAAAACCCATTAATTTATCTACAATTTATATAGTATTGTTATTATTTATTATATCTTCTCTGGTACGGATTTTTCTCTTTCTCTCTCTATAGATTCCTTCAAAACCTCACCCTCCCAATACTTTCTCACTCCATTACACACCTTCCTCCATTTTCTCTCTCCTCTCTCATTTTCTCTCTCTTTCAGCGAGCGACGACTTTTTCATCGGAGATGGCCAAGGAAGCGGATTCTACTGGTGGCGAGATCATGCTTTTCGGTGTTCGTGTTGTCGTCGATTCCTTGAGGAAGAGTGTTTCGTTGAATAATCTCTCTCAGTATGAACATCGCCTTGATTCTTCTTCAAACGACGTCGCTCCTCCTCCTGCTACTGCTGCTGGTTATGCTTCTGCCGATGATGCAGTTGCTGTGAATAACTCGTCTGCTGCTGGTGGTGTTAGCCGTGAACGGAAACGAGGTATGAGAGAGATAGTCGGAATCGCGTATTGAAGTTGTTTTTTGTTTGTTTTATTGATTAATTTAGGATTTGTTGTTGATTGAAAAATCGATTGATTAGGAGTTCCATGGACTGAAGATGAACACAAGCTGTTTTTGCTTGGATTGAATAAGGTTGGTAAAGGTGATTGGCGAGGAATTTCTAGAAACTTCGTCAAAACTCGAACTCCTACGCAAGTTGCCAGTCATGCTCAGAAATACTTTCTCCGACGGAGTAATCTCAATCGCCGCCGTCGTAGATCTAGCCTCTTCGATATCACCACCGATTCGGTATAATTTCTTTACTCCTTCAAAATATTCCGACATCAAATCATTTATGATTGTTTCGAATGAGGTTTCTGATTTTGATTTTGAAATTTCCGGATGAAATTAGGTCACTGTAAATCAATCAAATGATAAACAAATCAAGGAAAACAACAACAATGGCGGTTCTCCATCTCCACTACCATCACCACAACAACAACAATCATCGAATTCAGAGATCTCGACTGTGAGATTTTCATCACCAGGAGCTCCGATCTATCCATTAACGACGTCGTTTAGTCATCTACCTCCTCCTCCTACTCCTACTCCTACTCCTCAAGTAACTGATCATGAGATGAAGGTTGTTGTGTCAACGAACAGCAGCACAAGCAGCAAATCAATGGTGGATTTCGATCTGAACCAGAAAGATTCATCATCATTATCACTGTCACTTTCTCTCTCCATGACTTCATCGGATCTCGCGAATTCGAGGAACCCTGCGTTTCAAGTTATGCAAGGGTTCAACAATGGCGATAATAGTATCAGGGTGGCTTAAATGGGGATTATTGGATTTGATTATCATTAATTAATCAATGTAATAATCTGAAAAATATTTTCAGTTTCAAAAAAAAAGAAAAAAAAAGGTATTATTAGGATTTTGGATGGATGGATAAGTTTTTTATTGTTATTATCATAATGATGATGAGTAATTAATTATGATTAAGCTAATTAAGGGGATGTAGTTCTAATTCTGATATTGAAACTCACTTTATATTTTAATTTTTGTATTTGTATTTTTTTTTTTTGTTTCGTTATTTTGTTGTCTTTGGTGGTTAATGTACAGACTGTAAGGATGTGATGTGCCTTGGTTTTTGACAAATCATTTTTGTTTTGTTTGCTGGCAAATAGATGGATGTTTTTTTTTTCTCAAGGATAAATACACTAACTATTTGGAACTATTCGTATATATTAGTGGATTAAAAGTATCATCTCGTATCATTATTACTCCCTATTAATATTTTATCCCTTTTTGTGATTAATTATCGATTCATTTTCAAAATAATATGGACAAAATTATTTATGGAGTATTATTATTAGGAATCTTGAAAGATTCCATTGCAATGGAATCTAATACTTTAACGGTGAATATAAACTCATAAACATTAAATATAATCATGTGGAATTCGATTTATCTCGATTTTTAATTTCTTTTTGATATTATAATATATATGTGTTTGCAATGTACAAGATTTCAATTATCATGATACTTTTGGATTTCTTGTGACCAATCATTTATTAATCTAAAAAATATATTTGTTTATACAAAATCATCAATATATATCAAAGAATTTCTTTAGCAGTTGTAGAAGGGATTATTCTTCTAATTTATGGCCTAGTTAGATGAAGACATTCCTTAAGAGGAGTATAATGTGGGGTGAATTATGAAAATTATGTTGAGTTATCAATATATAAACTTTTACAACTTGTCTTAAGGCTTATTTACGTTCATTAGATGATAAATTCATACAAATTTTTATTTGAATTCGTCATGATAATTAAATTATTGATGAGAGTTTGTACGAAGTACCACTTAACCATAAAATTTATTTTCCTAAATTCTATAAATTTTATTCTTGTCATTTTTAATTGTGAGTATAATATTTAATATTTGAAAAATGAAAAATGAAAAATACGATTTAATAGTCAATAATTACCTACAAATTCTACAATGATCTATGATAATTATTACAGAAAATGTGAAAAATATTTAGTATTTAGGAAATGCTATTTTTAATTCAAAAATAGTACTCAATAAACTCGCATTATTTCTTCGTATTAGGATATTGTACTCCTTGTCACAAATTAACGGAAAATTAACACCGGAGTAGAGCAATTGAATTCTGACATAGAAATATTATGGAACCAACAAAAAAAGTAGGTCCACATGTTATCCATTGCATCTTGGTTGGGGCCTATCCAAAGCATTGATTGGATATGAAAATAATGTTGGCCTATTCCTATTGCAAGTTTGCAACTGCATTTATAGGTCAATACCTGTGAATATTAGTGGAGGTTTTTCTAGCCTTGAACCACTCACTAATAACTTCAGCTGCTCCATCGTTGATTTATTTATCTATTTACGAGTATGAATAAAATTTGTCATTTTAAAGTATTTTTTTTTTTTTAAAGTTTAACAAAAATCTAGTTTAATATTTCTCCTTAGTTGAATATATATATGATGCATATGTGAACGTATGTACTGCTTGTTATTTAATTCAATTTCTTTTAAATTTTACTTTGTATTTAGCGTGATTATTATGTAAATAACACAGAGTATAATACTTAGCTTTGTTATGCTCGATAGTTTGTTATCGAGTAAATACAAAAGGAAGGTAATGATGTTTGGCGAAAGTTGCAAACAAGGTACTCAAGTTTCAATAGTTGCAAATAAGGTACTGAAACCTTGGTTGGAGATAAAAAATCCGGTGGTTACCTGCTCCAACCGGTTACCTCAATTTAAAGTTTAAAAAAAAAAAGGGAAAAGCTAAGTTGTAGCATTGGAAAACGAAAAAACATCATTTCCTTCTAACATTGGCACTACCATTACCCCAAGCTTTCATCGAAACGAAGTAAACAACAAAATCAGCAATATTCAACGCATTTTCATCATATTATCCAAAGCAATCACAATATTTCATCAATTTATTCAATCAGCACATTTCTCATATTCATAAATTCAAATTGAAAAATTACCTTTATTTAAAAAATCAAATCAATTAAACGCATAAAACAACAGATCTTCAACATTATTCTCATAATCGATCAACAAAATAAAAAATCATTCAGGTCAAAAACGCCAAAAATCAAATCAATCGAACATAAAAATGACGAAATCTAAACCCCACGAGTTGATATGAGAGAATTTTTACAGGAAATTGAGAGATTAAGCAGAGTTGCAGCAGCGTTTTCTTGCGCTAATGGTGTAGGAGAGTAAAGGGTTTCAGCGAGGAGAGAGATTGCTGCACCTTCGTCTTCTTCAGCGATTATGGGTCGAATTTCTGGGTCGCTTTTGGTGAGTAATCGGAGCTCACAAAGTGCTGCTATTCGGGTTTGATTTGATACTGAATTTCGTCTTCTTCAGCGAATGGGTCGAATTTCTGGGTTGAATTAAGGAGAGGAAGAGAGAGAATTTGGAGTTTTTGGTGGCAATGGTATTTGTCTTTGGAGTTGACGGTGGAATTGGTGGTGGTCTGGTGTTTGTTTTTGAGTGAAGAATAAGATGTGAAGGGAGGAGAGAGAAGGTGAATTAAAAAAGTTGTGAGGTTATAATTGTTACCAAACATTAGAGCATACACAATGGTTGCCCAACCCCATCTTGGTTATTGATTATTTTATTATTTTATCCATCTTCCACCTCACTTATAACCACTCTTATAACCATTTAATAACCAATGTATGCCAATAGTTAACCATAATATTTTGGTTATACATTTTCTCTCTCTTACTTTTACCCAACCCCACCACACAATTTATTACTTAAATTCTATTATTATTAAATAATGCATTTGGTAATAATCATTCAAAATTAATAATTATTTATTAGCATACATTAATTAGATAAAATCTCAAAAATTTAAAAATAATGCAATTTTGATATTAATTAGTACGTAATTAGTCGTTAATTAAGACACAAACAATAATTGTAACCCTACTACATTCCATAATAATAAAAATCATACATATATATTCTATCAAATGACAAAAGTCTTTGAAAGATAATAACGAACCGCGAACAAGTACAAACACAATGATATAATATTGCGATTACACATCTATTAATGCAAATTATTGTCCCTACTTTGAACACCGAATTTGAGCCACATATGTTCAACTAAGTCTTTCTTCAATGCTTTATGCATAGCTTCATCACGAACACGTGCTCTATTAGACATGTAAGTTTCCAAACTTGCAATTCGGTTGTTGCTATTTTGGAACTGAAAAGGCTCTTCATTATTTTCATTACTTGAAGACGCATTTGTAGCTTGATCATATTCATTTGGATCGTAATACGTTTTATATGTATCTCTTTCATCCTCAACAATCATATTGTGCATAATAATACACGCTATCATTATTTTTCCTAACATTGATGCGTCACGAGCTAGCGCTGGATTCCGTATTATTGCAAAACGAGCTTGTAATACTCCAAAAGCACGCTCAACGTCCTTTCATTTAGCTTCTTGTACTTTGGCAAATAGACCTTCTTTTTCATTTTGTGGTAGTGATATTGTAGGAATGAATGCCGCCCATTTAGGATATATACCATCAGTGAGATAATATCCCATATTGTATGTGCGACCATTCACAACATAGTTAATAGAGGGTGCACAACCTTCAAAAACATCATTAAACAATGGGGATCTATCAAGAACATTAATATCATTACGACTACCTGGTGTCCCAAAAAAGGCATGCCAGATCCAAAGATCATATGATGCCACAGCTTCCAAGATTAATGTGGGTTTACCTGGTCTTCCAGAAAACATACCTTTTAATCGAAGTGGACAGTTTTTCCACCTCCAATGCATACAATCAATAGAACCTAACATGCCAGGAAATCCACGACGTTCACCAATCCTTAGTAGTCTTACTAGATCTTCTTCATTGGGCTTTCGAAGGTATTCATCACTAAAGTAAGAGACTATTCCTTCCACAAAATGCTGAAGTGAATCTCTTGCAAGAGATGCACTAATCCGAATGTAGTCATCCACAGAATCAGCGGAGGTGCCATAAGCTATTAGTCTCATAGCCGCGGTGCATTTTTGTAATGCAGAGGCACCAAATCTTCATGTAGCATCTTGTCTTTGCTGGAAGAAGGGATGACGTTCTTCTAAAGTTTGCTTAATTCGGAGAAATATATGTTTGTTCATGCGAAATCTCCGACGGAATAATTGTGGAGGGAACACAGGATGGTCGGTAAAGTAGTCATTCCATAAACGACTGTGTCCATCCTCACGATCCCTTGGAACGGGAACCCTTGGTGGCCTTGGCACTTGATTAAACATTTGATATACTTCAACTGGATTGGACATAAAAACTTCATCCATCATTCGATCGAACTGGCGATTGGCTTGCCTTCGTCTTTCATATCGTTGGGTTTGGCTATTTTCTGAATTGGAAGAGGAATTAGAAGAGTTGGAGCTATCGTCAGATGACATGTTTTTAAAACCAAATTTGATATGAGAATGGAAGGTAGAAGTATAATAGGGGGAAATGGATGGTTGTTCAAGGGAATCCCACTCTGATGTATCCATCTTATAGAACAAGTGTGTATGATATGTAGTAATTTTTTTGTCTTATATGGTAAATTTGAAGTCTTGCATGCATGCAATGATTCATAAAGTAGTTAATAATTTTTAAAAGTAATGGAGATGCATGCCTTTGCATTGTCACTATCACCTTAACATTGTTATGTACGTCAAAGCAAGTGATGCATGCTACTATTTCCTTTTCAGTGTTAAGTACATCAGTGAACAAAATTCACTATTACCTTTTCAGTGTTAAGTACATCAATGTCTAGTATTTAATATTTGCTTTTCAGTGTTGGGTACATCAAATACTTTACAGTGTAATGTAAATCAATGTACATCTTTTGCAGTGATATATCAAAGTGAATCAATAGGTTTAGTCAGATCAATAATAATTATATGTTATTATATACAAACTTTAATGTATTGAATAATATTATTAAGCTTATAATACGATTATAAGAAGAGACATGTAATTTAACTTAATTTTTTTATTAATAATGACATTATAATATAAAATTCATTCACATCCTCAAACAACAACTTATTAAAAATATTCAAACTACAAATCAGACCTTAAGTACATAAAAAAGAACAATAAAAAAGGAATTATTTGAAATCAACCAACATTACGACAATAATCAACCATACACTAATACATTAGTCTGAGGGGAACAACTTCTTCAACAAAGTGCTCCTTAATTCTTGATCTTCCGAAGATAAGTTTGGCTTTGAATCGAGGTGTTTAAATAACTCCATATTAATTTTTCTTTGCTTCCTTGCTTCTTTCTCCCTTTCTAGTTGCAACCTTGTAAGTTCAACTTCATTTTCTGATTGCCTTATAAGGTTCATGTTCTGGGCAGTGTCCAACCATTGTTGCCATGCTCCACTTGGCATGTTTGGCACCTTGCTCTTTCCTTTATTTTTACTAGATTCGTTGCTAGAAGGAAAGCCTGAATACCCAATATCACCACTGGTTGGTGTTTCTGGGTTTGATGAAGAGGAGTAGTTTCCAGCTTCATTGATACGAGATCTCTTTGAGTCACTTCCTTGAGTGGATGTCTTTTCCTTGCATTTTTTAACAACATCTTCACTTGGTTTCCATGCTTCATGTTGTTTTAAGATGTCCCAAACATGCTTGTCTTGAAAGGTTTTAGAGCATAATGAAGACTTTGTTTTGTCGTTAGCATATATACTATATGCTAATTTCATAACATCTTCATCATTCATACCACTTCCCTTTTTTGATTCAGCATGAGCATGTGAGCCACAAAATTTAGAACATGAAGCATTAATCCTTCTCCAACGGTTTCTAAGTTGCTCCGTACCCCTCATTTTCAACAAATCTTCTCGTGTTACCCGATCAGTACCTTCTTCGAAACACCTTTGTTTGTATAGTCTAACATTATTATACATTTCTTCAATTTTCCTCCAAAAAACATCCCCCTTTTGGTTAGTGTTAGTTTTTTTATTTTGACTAACCTCAAGCCAAGCCTTCACAAGAACCACTTCTTCAGCTTTTGACCAAAAAATTTTCCTTCCATCTTGATTGCCTCCTTCATTACCTCTTTCATTACCTTCGCCTTCTTCAACTTCTGGTTCATATTCGTCATCTGATGCATTCGATGTGTATGAACAATCGAAACTCGGAAATGCACCATCACCTTGTGACATAGAAAAATGTTGAGACATGGGAAATGTTGAATCAATTTGAGAGATTTGAATATTTTCAAAAGATGGGATAACATTTGGAGAATTTGAATAATTAGGATTTTGTGGTGGTTGAAAAGGAAACGGAGTGAAAGTACTTGGATTTGAGAAATTGAGATTTTGTGAACCGTAATTCGGAAAATTTTGAAAATTTGTATCTAAATCTGAGTTGAGATCAATTGGAAGATTAGAATAGTAAGGTTGAGGATTTGGATTATTTTGGGGCTGTGATGAGTTATAAGATTTTGTGGATTTTTTTTTTCTGTTAGATTTTGGAATGTTCATCTTAACACAATTTGCCAATAAGAAGAGTAATTTTCACTTAAAAAAAAGTTGTTTCAAAATACTTCAATATTGGGCTCATTTTATAGAGAAAAATAAAATAGAGCCGTTGGTGTATTTTTTTTTTTTTTCAGAATTGTATTTTAAAAATTATGGCCGTTACAAAAATTACAACGGTTATAAATTCAGAGCAAATCTCAACCATTGATATTTGTATTACGTGTCAAAATCTTAGCCATCCATGTCAACCAAAAAGCAAAAAAAAAATTGCATGACCATATACATAACCGGTTATTTGAATAACCTGGTTATTCAATTGATACCCCAATAATTTCTCTCTCCTCAATATTTTATTAATATTTTCATTTTCTCTCTCTTAATAACCACCCAAATAGTTAATGGCTGTGGGTACTCTTAGTATCTTCTGTTACTATGTCAGCAATTTATTTATTTATTTTTATTTTTTTTTTATTTTTTTATTTTTGTGCAAATGGTAATCTGTTGTAATAGGTGATTTTTGGGTTGACTACTCTAACCGCAACTTTTGAAACTTGAGTACCTTAACTACGACTTTTGCCAAACTTCAGTACATTCCTTTTGTATTTACTCGTTTGTTATTATCAAGCTTCACAAATTAGCCTATGAAATATACTCATACAAACTATTCTTCTTGTTTCTTGAACTTTTTTTTTATTATTTTTATTATTATTTTTATTTATGAATATAGCCAAATACTCAGATAATTAATAGACCAATCACATTCTTTGTCGATCATATGAAGCCATCTTGCCAATCTACCTACATACAGTGGCGGACCCACGTGTAGTCATAGTGGGTCCGCGGACCACCTATTATTTTATAAAAAAAAACACTATGTATTAAGGATTTAGCTTGCAGCCTAGTGGTTTTTTTCCCATCCTACCACTCATGAGACGTGGGTTCAAATCCCATTACTCACAATTTTTTTTTTTTTTTTGCTTTAGAATGAAAACATAAGTCAGAACCCCAATTCCCCCAAATTAAAACCCTAAGTCCCAAACTCACCTAAATCGAAATCCCCAAACTCCAACAACCCCGTCGCCGTTCACCGCCTCACCGGCCGTTTTTCTTGCTCCTTCTCACCGTCGCGGCGTCCTATTAGCGGCGTTGAGGCGTAGAGTGAGAAGACTGAGAACAGAGCAGCGTGAGACTTAGTTCAGTCCACTGCCCGCAACCGCAACAAAACCACTGGCCAGCAACCCCGTCGCCGACCTCGCCAGCAACTTCAGTCGTCTCTCCCGGCGTCCCGCAACCGCAGCAAGGCTCAACTCAGGCGTGAGTGTGAGGTCTTCATTCCGTACTCCGTGAATTCAATTTTGTTTTGAGGTTAGTTTTATACTTTTAATTTACATAATTACATTTCAAATTGATTAGATTCTATATCAAATCATCAGTTTAAATGTTTAATTATCAAAATTATCAGATTATATGTATATCACGATTCACGAATTTACTGTATGAGTTGTTTTTTTTTTTGGTGAAATTTCTTGATTTTATTAGAGCTTGATTATTTGTATGACTTTATTAGAGCTTGAATCTTATGACTTGATTATCGTCACTTGATTATCTGTATGATTTTATTAGAGGTTGAATGTTGTGATTTGTGAATGTGAGTTGTGGCCGATATTTGACCATTTGAGCCCTATTATTTTATAGTATTATTTCTGTTTAATTGATAAATGATAATAGTTGTCCAACTTGCTTATTAGCTATTGAGAATGGTCATTGCTAATTTGGAGATTTGGGGTTGAAGGATGGATTGAAATTGAGGTTAATGAGCGTTCTTTTGATAATATTATTAGTTTTATTAACTTTGAGAGAACCCTACCTTCTTGTATGATTTATCTAATTCAACATTTAACTTCAATTTCAGAATGAAAAGAAAAACAACTCGAGATATTTCAAGTTTTTTTACTAAAAAAGTGCGTACTCTAAATCCTCCTCCTCCACAAAATGATACTCCTCCTCCACAAAATGATTTACCCTTTCAAGAAAGTGAACCAAGTTCTCCTTTACATCATGCTAGTGAACAACATTCTTCCCCATCTCACAATTTCCCTCAAAATGAAGATGGGCAATCTTTTCCCCAAGGTGGTTCGGATCCTAGTGCTCAAATTGGTGAAGGAAGGTTAAGTGCACTTGATATTATTAATCTTCCACAAGACCCCGGGAAAAGAAGAAGGATGTGTGATTTTCATCCCGATGATAGGGATTTAGTGCGGAGAACATACATTCAAAGAAAGCCATGTCAACCTAAAGATCATGCGTTTCCTCAAACACTTTTTGGGCCGATAAAACGTCGATTTAATGTTAATTGGTTTGATACTTGGCCAACATGGCTTGAGTATAGTGTTGAGAAAGATGTTGCCTTTTGTTTCATTTGCTATCTATTTAAGGATGGTAACACAGCGGGAGTGGATGCTTTTGTTAATGGAGGTTTCAGACGTTGGAATAGAAGAGACACAATTGTAAAGCATGTTGGTGGACACAAGAGTGCTCACAATAATGCTGTGATTGCTATGAACTTTTTCATGAATCAAATGAGTAGCATTGCCACCGCTTTATCAAAACAAACAGCGGAAACCATGAGTGCCTATCGTAAGAGATTAGAAGCTTCAATTGAAACCATTAAATGGCTATTGTTCCAAGGGTTGCCTTTTCGTGGTCATGATGAAAAGGAAAGTTCATTGTCTAGAGGTAACCTTCTTTCGTTATTAACTCTTCTTTCAAACCATGATCCTGAGTACTCCAAAGTTGTTTTTTAAATGGCCCCTGGTAATTGTCAACTTACTTCTCCAAGTGTCCAAAAAGATATAATCAATGCTTGTGCTAAAGAAACAACTAAAGCAATATTGGAAGAACTTGATGGTGGATTTTTTGCTATTCTTGCTGATGAATCTGCCGATGTTTCCGATAAGGAACAAATGGCACTTTGTTTGAGATTTGTTAATAAAAAGGGGGAAGTGTGTGAGCGTTTTCTTGGTATTGTTCATGTTCCTAATACTAGTTCTTTGACTCTCAAAGCTGCTATTGAGTCATTACTCATGGAACACTCTTTAACTTTCTCTCAAGTTCGAGGTCAAGGTTATGATGGGGCAAGTAATATGCAAGGTTCAATCAATGGCCTTGAAACTCTAATTTTGAATGAATGTTCTCAAGCATACTTTGTTCATTGCTTTGCTCATCAACTTCAATTGACACAAGTTGCACTTGCTAAGAAAAACTCAGATTGTGGTTGGCTTTTTGTTGATGTACTTGCACCTCTCTTGAACTTTGTGGGAGGTTCACCTAAGAGGAAAGAATTTCTTCGAGAAAAACAACGTCAAGGGGTTGTAGAAGCATTATCTTTGGGTAAAATTGAATCGGGAACTGGTTTGAATCAAGAACGTGGCTTATGTAGACCTTGTGATACTCGTTGGGGATCTCACTTTAAAACCATTTTGAATGTGCTTGATTTATATCCTTCAATAGTTTTGTCACTTGATTCCATTGCAGAAGTATCTGATACACTTGATTCGAATAAAGCACAATCTATTACACACTTGTTGATGTCATTTGATTTTGTGTTTGTGGCACACTTGATGGTTGATATATTTGGAATTACAAATGCGTTGAATGTGGCATTGCAAAAAACATGATCAAGATATTGTAAATGCAATGGTCATGGTTGATGTAACCAAGACTAATTTGCAAAAATTGAGAGATGAAGGATGGGATTCACATATGGAAAAAGTCACTTCTTTTATGGCTAAATATGGCATTGAGGTTCCAAACATGGAGGGGCGATATGTGGTTCCTGGGAGAAGAATGTATAGAGGTAAAGGTCCACAAGTGACTAATCTTCATCATTTTAGAGTTGAAGTTTTTCTAAGTGTCATTGATCTTCAATTACAAGAACTTGAAAATCGATTTCCCGAGGTAAGTAAGGAATTACTTGTGTGTATGTCTTGCTTTAATCCTGCAAATCGATTTCATTATTTTGACAAAAGAAAGTTAGTTCAACTTGCCAAATTTTATCCCGATGAATTTTCAAGCTCTGAGTTATTATTTTTTGAACATTCACTTGAAAATTTTATTGTTGATGTTCGAAATGATGAGAGATTTTGGAATTTGAAAAGTCTAAGTGAACTTTCTACGAAACTTGTTGAGACGGGAAAGTTTGAAACTCATGATCGAGTCTACTTACTTTTGAAGTTAGTGTTGATTCTTCCTGTTGCAACGGCAAGTGTAGAAAGAGTATTTTCCGGAATGACGCAAGTGAAAGATAAATTGCGTAATAGCATGGGAGATCAAATGTTGAATGATTGTTTGATTACTTATTTAGAAAGAGATTTGTTTTTGAATGTTAGCATGGATGATATAGTAAATCGTTATCAAAATATGAAAACTCGTCGAGAGCAATTGTAATAAAATTAATAATTTTTTAGTTGTAATACGAATTTGCATTACTTTATGAAATGAACTTTTTTATGTAATTTTTTTTTTGTTCATTATACAAGCTTTGACTTTTTTTTGATACTTTATGCGGTCGATGAACGATGATGGGACCACCTATTAATCAAATCCTGGATCCGCCACTGCCTACATACCGTTTTAATTTTTAAACTCTTTTTTCCCATTTTATTGTATGAACACTACGTACATTATTGACACTTGGGAAAAAGCACATTATTGTTCCACTATGATCTTGTGAATGAAGTTGATTGCTCCAGTGTTAGACTCCATAAACCAATCGCTTCTCCACTAAGTAATATCATGATAGCTCGCCCACCACATTTTATTTCTATATTTATGAAATTAAAAAGGCTCTTTCCAATCTTTGCTAGAAGACTTTTTCTGTCTTTAACAATTTATTTTCATTGGTCGAAATATCAAATGTATATACATAGTTCAATCTCATTGGCATTCTCCTACTGAATATAATGATAAATGATGTTAGCATCTTTTCTGCATCAGAATAATTGTATATATATATTGTCCATTCAAATGTGGCAGCTTAAAGGATTTATTTAATATTTTTTTTTATTATTAAAGAAGCTTATCTTATAATATGTGTCAATCATTTTGTTTGGAGAGAAGAAATAAAAGATGCACCAAAGTTAAGAGTAGTTTTCTCTCAAACAAAACAAGAAATTTTTCTATCTATAAAAAGATCGAGTTTACTTTTGGTACGTCTAAGCGTAATGGGCTACAGCTGCAATGATATTTTACAATATAATACACATACATGTATATTATATGATATTTTACTGTACAATACACATACATATATTTTTACAAGATATTTTACAGTATAATACACATACATGTATATTATATGATATTTTACTGTACAATACACATACATATATTTTTACAAGATATTTTACAGTATAATACACATACATGTATATTATATGATATTTTACTGTACAATACACATACATATATTTTTACAAGATATTTTACAGTATAATACACATATATGTATTTTTTATGCTAACATTATACAAGTTTGAATCAATCATATTTTGCCATACTTTGTGCCTAAAAAAAAAACATATCATCATCTTTTATGCTCACTTTAACGTAACATTTTTTATTAATAAAAAGTGAACCTCCATTCCTATTCCTATCTAAACACAACCATTGTTGGAACAAAGCATCTACATTATATTATTGGGACACAAGTGGTAGTATGGTACTATACTTGTATCGATAATGCCCAATCACTTTTCCTCCTTTTGATGTATTATTTACAACAAAACATTACTATCCCAACTAGAAATAACACCTCTTGATTTTCCTCTTATAATTAACCTTCCTAATTCTATGGCGACTACCATTTTTTTGTTAGTTGAATTGGGGGCTATATACCATATGAGAAAGTGTTGTTTGAGTCTGGAATTAAATTACAGTATGACAAATATAAGTTATTGGACATTTTATACAAAGTATAAGTTTTTAAACATCTTAACTTTTGAGATTTTATACTTCATCTGTTTTTTTAGTTGGCACGTTTTAACTAACTTTTGACATTATTGTTCATCATTGAAATAGTTGCGTTAGCAAACATCGAAAATAAAATATGTTAGCTAAAATAAATGGAAGAACCGAAGAAGTACAAGTTTTTGAACATATTAGCTTTTGAATTTTTATGTATTGAGTCGTGGATGGCCTACGGTGAAATAGACTCACCTAATACCTTTTTAAAAGTGTATTTAAATTGATGTTGGTAAGCCTTTAAGTAATTTGTTTAGAACAAGAGTTTTAAAATAGCTTGGAGTCGTATTGGAAGACTAATGAATTGGGTTTGTTCCATCCAAATACTCCATACATACGAGGAAAGGAAGTTTAGAAAAATCACTTTAACGATTGATTATTCATGCATGCATACATAAAAAAAAAAAAAAAAAAAAAAAGAAAAAAAGAAAAAAAAAAAGTTGAACTTATAGGAGTCAATGTTTTCGTGCACATGAACTGAATGACCAAAAAAAGATTACAATTAATACAAAAGTAGTCAACAGATCCAACCAATCAAGAAATTCCATGTAAATAACATAGAAACTTGAATAGTCTTACTAAGAGTCAAAATATTCTCTCTTGCTTGTTAAAACTTAGAAGTAAACTTTAAATTATTGGCAAACCATTTATGCACCTCTTTGAAATATCAGTGTTAAAAGAGTCTTAAAGAATATATAGTGTTGTCATATACTATTTTTTTTTAACTTTTAATCAATTAAACTAATTACGGAGTTTACGGTGTTATCCGATTGAACAAGCTACAAGCAATGGATACGATTGAGAAGTCAATAGATGAAACAAGACTGATTGAATGTAGCCGAATATGAGCCAAAAAAGTCAAATCAATAACATAAACGCGGGAAAACTTAGAAGCAATTAGTGAAACGTGTCAAATGGAAGCCGTAAAGTCCATATCCCTAAGTGAAAAAAATCACATGTCAAACGACAAATAGGATACCTTCAAAACTCGTCTCCCAATTAAACCTCAAACTTGCACTAGACAAGAAGCCTCAACTTTAGCTTTTCACAATCTTCCACAACTTCTAGGAGGATAGTCTACAAAATACAAATTGTAATTTTGTACGACTACTATTTTAATTTGTTATACAAGTGTATATCCTATTCATATTTTTGGGGTTTGGTGATTAATGTATTTTGTTATAGCAATGTAAATCTAATCATATTTTTGACCTTGGTTATCTAGCCTACATTTTATATAATTTTGGAGTAACGGTTATATTAGATTGTACTTGTACGTGCATAATAAATAAATTTATACAATTATAATGTATGTAAAAAAAAAAAAAAAAAAACAAGGCATGAGAAAATTTGTAATGCTTTGGCCCTGTACATTTAAGTAATTTGTACAATTCGTTTTTTTTTTCTCTCTTCAAATTCTTAGTTACATGATTTCTAATGTCCTATGTTATGTCATGAAATTATTGTAAATTAACCTAGTTAAATTATTATAAAAGCATGTGCACGTATGTTACGTATTGGAAACAACATCATTAATCGTTTATCCAATACATGGCGTTTTTTTACAGAAAAAATGCTTAAACTAATACTGTATTACAAAGTTATAAAGTTGTGTCATTATGTAATTGGAAAAAAAAAACATTTAGAGATTTGTATTATAACAAAACCTTGAACAATAATAATGCAATAATGGTTGGTGTCTCAACTTAAAGGTCTAATTCCTAAGCGATCTTATAAGACTTGGATTGAATTTCAATTGAGATATTCTATAAGCATCCAGAATTTTCTCAAGAAAAATGAATAATAAGAATTATATAATCACTAAAAATAAAAACTAAAAATGTGATAGTGATATTAGAAAAAGATCTAAGGCATGTGCTTATTAAAACTTTCGGTAAGAGGTCTTTTTAGAGTCCGAGTGTCCGACATAATTGATAAAGTATATAGGGATAGTTTGTTTTTATTAGATTTTGGTACAATCCCATCCTCTAATATCTTCAACTAATATCCAGATACTTGTATGGTTGAGATACTTCAGTTTGTATCTTCCTCAAATTTATGATATGTTGTTGATTTTGGGACAAATTTTATAGTAAGCCCACGTTACGTATACTATTCCATTGATCTTGACGTAGGGATGACCACCTTCTTGAACCCTTTATCCCGATAAATGTCAATCACAAATTTGGGGGGTGTAACCGTGTAACGCGTAAGCACCTACCTATTTCGGGTTGTTAGAGACCTAGTGTTAATGTTGTACTACCTCGCTAATTCCCTCACCTCTCACTTATGACACATACGTTAATGAGCTTCAATCTTCGCAACACTAGAGCAAGAGATGGGATCATTGGCATCATTGGCATGCTAAACCTAAATTTTAACATTGTTTCATGAGCTTCAATCTTCGCAACACCTACCTATTTCGGGTTGTTAGAGACCTGGTGTCAATTCTTGTTTGTTTGTTTCGATTGGTGTCCTGGTCATTGTGTTGATAAATTTAACACGAAAGAAAAAACTTGAAGCCTTCATTTTTTGAGTATACTGAGTTGATGACACCTAAAGTCCTGAACAACTTGGCAAAACCTAAAAATCTTGCCTTGATGCTTCTCTGACAATTACTGTTATCTGATATGAATGTTCTAAGCTAGCCCTTTTTAATATGATTGACTCTAACATTTTGCAAGATGTGCTACAAAATCATCACTCCCTGAGCTTCTAAAAGAGCTCTCTCTTTAAGCAATAATAAGTTACTTCGAATAGTTCCTATTTCATTACACTGCGATCATCTGCTGCAATACAACAGATAAGTAAGACACTCACATAGTTTCACAGTCCATTACCATATCCTAAACATGATTGGAAATGGACAGTATTGTGTGAAGATTAGATCAGAATGACCAAGTTTAAAGAAAGCAAATTAATGAGATAAGATGACAAGAATTTTAACTAAGAATAATGTGCAATACAACAGAGTATAAGAATTCTTTCTGTTCTTGCAAGACCATCTGATTTCTGAACATAGTGTGTGAAGCTAATGTGTTTTTAGTCACTTTTACTTTGGCCGAAAGCTGCTTTGAAAAGAAATGTAAAAACAGAAACGATAAGGAACCTTTGATTAGAACTTGAAATACTGTTGTTCATATTCTAGATTTCTACTTCCCATTCGTAGATAGGGCAGACTCGTGGAGCTGGAGATACAGCATGTCAAGAGTACTATGTGAAATGACCGAAATCCAATATAAAAAAAGGCTCAAGGCACACCCTGGCCATAGAGATTTCCCTATACCTTAGGTGCGGGCTTATTGAAGTGAGGTGCACTTGATAACAAGTGAAAAAGAGTCTGGAAAAAAAAGTTGGGCACTTTTGGTGTGCCTCACCAAATCGGCTAGTCTGGGCTAATGGCACCTTTTTATACACTTGTGAAATCCAGCTATGACCTCCATTCAAAAGTCGCTGAAACTTTCACTGTTCAAGATAATGGAGCCTAATAAACAATGCTATTGCTGTGAAATCCAACCTTAGGAAAGGCGGAATCCAAATCAGGTTGGATTTCCCCTTGGGAAAAGATGACCCGACCTCCAGGAATTGCAAGACTCGCAAATATTTTGTGGAGGTTGAGTTGTCTAGGGATTAATTCAATTGCCAATACAATCACTCCCCTGCAGGAATGGATTGTTGATACCCTGAATTAAATTTTCCAAAACCGAATGAGGACCAATGAAGAGGAGACTACTTCACAGCAAGCTCGCAATACTGTGGGGCATTAGGCTCCAAATGAAATTTCCTTCAGGCAAGATATGGTGTACACAACTGGCACAGTCAAGACCTACTGAAGAGTGGAATTCTGTCTATCAGTAAGCCATGGTAATGTTGCAACAAAGGCGAGGGATTCTAATCAGTCTTTTTCAAGCAGGTTGAAGGATGTCAATCCACTCTTTGGCATCAGAAGATGCATCAAGGAAACAGAGTAAGGCAGAATCTCATTCTAGAGTGGAATCCCATTTTATGGCAACTTTGCCTCAGACTGTGACGTACTGGCTATCCTCAATTTGATCAAGGAACTGAATCAGCTGATACAAATGGGCTAGCAAAAAGGCCAACAATTTATCAGATTGCAAAGAAGAAGTCCAAGCAACGAAGACTAAGCACTATCTCCAACTGGATACTAAAAAAATATCATAGCATATCTTAGCAGTAACGCTAATCTTTGTAAACTTTCAAGTGTTCCTAGAATACACAGGCTGTAGAAGCCTGAATATAATGGTAATTTGATTCGCGACTGTCAAATAAATGTCTGACAGTATAAACTCTTTCAGTATACTGTCAGAAAGAGTTTCAGGAAGCTAAGCAATCTCCTGAAAGAACCAAATCTGATATTGTATTACTAAAAAAACCAGCCAGAACAGCAGCAGGACATAAAACTTTGATGCAAATGCTCTGGTATGACAAATTCGTCAATACAGGCAAATCCTCCATAAATTTTTTTCTCAAGAATCCAATTCATCGAAGCAGCTAATATTACTATTAATGCAAACCTAGCCTCATAAAATACCGCAGAAGGAGCTGAACTAATTTAATCAATTCAAGAAATCCACTCTTGTCCATTCCCATTCAACCACAGTTTATGCATTCAGCAAGACCATCAATTAGCCCAAAGACTCCGAATGCATTCGCAGCCCATACTTTTTCAACACACCTCGAGAAGTTGATAATCTCTAATCCCCATTCACAATTGGGACTATATCATATCACTAATAAATAAAGCCGGTCTCGCAGCCAGGTCACAAGACAGCAACACTTGGCATTCCAATTTTTCGCCAAGTTTCGTGCCACGTAGGCGACATATAGGTATTATTGTGACACATATGATGCTAAATAAACGAATTTTGGATAGATTTTTGAAGATAAAAATGTTGTATAGAATTTTATTATCAATACACTACTAATATTTCATATGTAGAAAATTAATCATAACTTTAATAAAAATCTAATAACCCGGTTCTATTTCCATCATAAAATTCATTTTAAAAAGTTTAGAAAATTAATAAAAATAAGTTTTAATCGATAAAAATACTTTCAATAGTGATTATATGACCGTATTTAACATTCAATCCAAAAGGTTTATCCTAAAATTTAATAAACAACCTAGGCACCCGGGACACAAAACTAGTAATTATATATAGCTAAATCAGATTCAGCAACACTACAATCAATTCCCAAAATCTTTCTTCTCCCCTCAAAAAGCAATACAATCAAAATCGAGCCACAAAGTCCCATCTATATTTTAAACATAACAACAACCAAAACAAACCCCAACTTTACACCTACTACAATATACTATCAAGCAAAATCACCAAATTTAAACATCAAAATAAGATTAAGCAAAATCAATCCAGTTTATCAGTAGATCAAGCTCCAATCAACCTTTAAAGATTAATATAATTGTATGCACAAATGGCAAAACAGTGCACAATCTACCATGATCAAATTCAACAACAATAACAACAAAATTTTCGAACAATATATCAAAAATTAGTGTAAATAAAAATTAAAAATGTAAAAATTAGCTCAAGCGACGCTGATTGGCTGCGATTTAGGAGGCTGAAAATTGGAGTTATTCTTATTAGCAGCAAAATCTTCGAGATTATAAATAACAGTGATGTAAAGAGAACAACTTGGGCAACGAGCAATTTCTTCGCCAAGACGAAGATCATCCTTTGTAATTTGGAAAAGATCGCCGCATGGACATGGGTAAGTGTACGACTGCAGTTCTTCGTTCCATTCCATGTCTTCAATCTCTACATCATCGTACGACATCTTTTTTGATCTTCTTCTACTTTGTTTCTCTCTCTTCCCAGATGAATTGAAGTTGTATTAGATTAAGGATTTGGGGTGATTTGTTTGATTTTTGAATTTCCCCAATTTGATTGAGTTTGCGTAGTGTTCAGTGGCGTCTCCAGGATTTCCAAATAGGGGGTTCGAAATTTCGAAAGTTCAGAATCATAATTTACAATGGAATGAATTGCATATTTGCATACAGTTATGTAAAGACCAAAAGTAACTCAATAAATTTCACCAGTTTCAATGATAGGCTAAGTGGCTAACAGCAACAATACGGCAAACCACTCGCCAATTTAACAGCAACATGCAACAATACAGCAACAATAGGCTAAATAGAAACTGGAAGGAATGGATACGAGAAAGAAATAAACCAAAAAATATCAATAAGCAAACCACTCACCAATACGGCAATACTGCAATACAGAAGTTCACACAATCACTATAAAATTATTTTTTCAGATTTTTTTTTAGATAATAAAAATCAATACATCATAATTTATCAAGATTCAAGAAGAAGAATATCTTTGCATACGGCAATACAGGCATACATCAATACAGCAAACTAAGAAGAAGAATATCTTTGCAATTGCATACAATTTTTTTTTAGATAATAAATATCAATACATCATAATTTATTATCAAGAATTCATTCATTCAAGATCAAAACAAATAGTATGTAAAATATATGAAATTAAGAAGTAAAAATTTAGTTATTCACCTACAGAGCCACGAATTATGGATGAGTGGATGACGGAGCAGTGGAGCACCGAGCACTGATTATCCCCTTCTAATCAACTTCTGCAATAAATCGACGATAACCCATGACAAGAAGTCAAGAACAAATGAATGTACAGCTTACACTAATTACAGAACATTAGAACAATGTAGTACATTCTAAAACAACCTCCATTGAATCATTGATAGACACTCTAAAACAATAGACAATCAACACTTCAACCGACAATCAACATTCAACACTTCAACAGACAACAGACAACAATTCAAGTATTCAACAAACAACAATTCAAGTACAGGCTGTACAAATTACACTAATTCAAGTCAACAGACAACAATTCAACAAATGAACTACTTCTACAATCTACAAACCCTAAATCAGTAAATGTAAATCAGATACTTCCTTCCCCAAGACCCCAATTTCAACCATTTTTTCAATAGACAATAGTCACCCAAAAACCCAAAATTGATAGCTAAAGTTCATCACACATTCAAACACCAGGTATTCACGTAATTATCTACAAAAATCATGAAACCAAAAAGTTTATATATTATTAACCCAGAAGGCCAGATAGAACTAGATAGAAAACGAAATACAATTAGGAAACCGGCAAAGTGGGCAACGCAAGGCCGCAAAGGCGCAAATTCGCAACAACTCACGGTGACACGGTGGAGGGCCTGGACTCCGATCTGGGTTCTGGCGTGCGGAGCGCCGGGAACGGTGGGGCGTTCGCCGGTCTACTTGCGGACAGCGGGGCAGTGGCGTCTGGGTTGTGCGAGCCTTTTAGAGGAGTTAGGGTTTGTCGGTTTGAGAATTTGGAGGAAAGTGGTAAAACAGAGCCTTTTAGGCTGAGCTTTAATTCTTAACATATATCATACAAATATTCTATTTAACCCTTTTTCTCTTTTTGTTTTTTTTTTTTCAAAAAAAACTTTTCAACTTTTTTTTAAAAAAATTAGTGGATTTAATAAACCCACATTGGATCCGCCTCCGGTAGAGATGCAGAATTAGGGTTCTTGGGAAGAAGGTTTTGGGGTTTTATTTGGAGGGTGATGAGGAAGTTGGCGGCTGGAGTCGATTTATATATTGTCCTTTTTTTTGGTATTCAACTTAGAACTTGTTTTAGCTGTAAATTGATTAATTAACTTTTATATTCCATAATGACTTGTGAACTTATCATACGATATATTCTCTCCATCCCTTATTTACATGCCTACTTTCTTTTTTGGGCTTCAAAACTACATGTCTATTTTTATTTAAAGAATTTATTATTTTTACAATATTCTCTTTTTTTGATGAGTTGTCGTCAAGTTTCTATTATTATTATTTTTTTTTTTACTTTTGACATCATTTTTCCAACCCTTTAACGTAATAACATTTGTTATATATTTATTATATTTATACTTGTATATATCTTTATTAACCCATCAACATTTCACGTAATAACATTTGTTTTGTATGAGATATATATTACAGGAGAAAAAGTAAGTTAAAGTTAGAACACATTTTGAACTTATCTCATCTGAATTAATTAAAAGTAACTTTTATTTAAATATACTTACAACTTGCTAATGCACATTATTACAACTTATTGTGCACCCAACCATTTAGTATATCATTTGAAATGAAATTATATCATACAAAATGTAATTATATCATTTGAAAAGTTATTATATCATCCAAAAATTGACTATGTAAATGTATTATTCAAAAAGTGATATCATTAAAAAAAAGTATCAAACAATAATTATACCATTCGAAAGATAATTATATCATCTAACTTAGTTGTTTAAACAACAACTTTTATGTGCGGCTAGCCATATTGTGTGGCCAGTTGACACACACCAAGTAACCCTTGATCGACGAGTAACCTTTGACCGAGTAACCCCTGACCGACCAAGTAACCCCTAATCGACTTAGTAATCCCTGTCCGAGTAACCCCTGATCAATTTAGTAACCCCTGACCGAGTGAGTAACCCATGACCGACCGAGTAACCCCTAACCGACCAAGTAACCCCTGAACGACTTAGTAACCCCTATAACACTAACAAAGTAACCCCCATAATGGTTGGCCACACCCCCCACATATAAAAATTTGAGTTGTTTAAAATACAACTATATCATTCAAAATATGACTCATAACAAGATAATTATATTATCTAAAAAAGTGATTATATCATCCAGAATGTGACTATATCATTTGAGAGATTGTAGACCGGGTCCATATAAGACCTGCTGGCACATTATAAATAATACAACTCTATTAATCCGTCAACATTTTACGTAATAACATTTGTTTTGTATGAGATATATTATTGAACAAAAGAGTAAGTTAAAGTTAGAGCATACAGTAAAAAAGTCAATGTAATGCATTTATTTAGAAATACAGTTGTTGTAATACTAAAAAAAAAAAAAAACGCAAATATAAATACGTAGTACATAAATTTAAAAACCAACTACTTGTGTTGTACAAACAACTAGCTAGTCAATACATTCAACATAAACTAGCATGTTTATGTTAGACTTTTACAAAACCGCATGTAAACACTAAAAAATAAAAATAAATCTAAGCTACACCAACATTCAAGAGCTGAAGAGCAAGTTTCTCCCATTCATATTGCATACTACTCGTAGCATATAAAAATCCCATACTAGAACATACAGTATTAAAATAATACTCATCTGTATAAATAGTTAATTACACAAACATAGCAATGATGAGAACTTAAAAAAATTCTGTAAATCTCTTGAAAGCAGTCTTGCTTAGTAATCAACTGGTTAGAGATGAAATATACATGCATATTAACCCTCCTTAACCCTTTGCTAATGACAGGATACAAGCCTCCAAAATTTGTACCCATTAATGACAATTAACAATCTGTTTCACCTTCTTTAGTTCTTTGTCGACAGTTAGACCATAATCATCATCTAAATCATTTATAGTACATTTCACATACGAGTATAACAATATCTGTATTTTGTTAAGTTTAAGATGTCACTTAGAACTACCAACTACGTGAAAATCTCTTCTTTGTTCTGATGTGAGAGGCGTATATGTTTGTCTTGCAATTTCCCACCTAAGTATCATGTTCATTCACATTCAGAGCTGCATCTTTCGGATGAAAGCCATGGGTTGGGAGCAACATATGTATAACCTGCAAAGTGTTCATTGCCAGTGGGTGTAGAGGCTGGTGAGTCATCTGCTGGCATTGTCGTCCAGCATTTGTCAAAGTTAGCAGTGCATTCCTTCCCATTCACATCTGGTTTGAACTTGGGCTTCAACTCCTTTGCCTCCAGTTTCTTCCAATTGATAGGACGAAACCATCTGTGGCTCTTAACTTCATCGGATTCTGCGGGCCCACTACCAAGCCTCTTGGAAGGATCCTTTTGCAACAACTGCATAAATTTATAGTTTTATACATTAAGGTGAAACTTCAGATAGTAGATAGGGAGAATCAGCAAAGAAAATAACACTTGAAAGGTACACTTACTCCTCTAAGCAAAGAATGTGCTTCAGTGGATACCATTGATGGAAGCTTCACTTTGTCATTGATGATTTTCTGTTGGAGCTTCTGTCTGTTGGCATGTGCGAATGGTGGCTGCAGATATTAAAGAAAAGGGGTAATTTAGACACCTTAATAGAATGAAGCTAATTACCTAAACATCTCCAGGCTATGATGCATTTTTAAATCATGCAATCTAAATTCTTATATCTGACAAAATTCATTGTAATCAGGAATAGCTGCAATTCGCAACTCTACTAGTCTACTACTGTTATACCTTTAATAAAAAAAACGATACAGCACACACCAAGATTTACATTAAAAAAATTACATTTTAGTCTAAAACACCATCTCATTCTAATAGTATACTAAATACTACTCTGTCAATATGCATCCTGTCCTGAGCCATAAGTCAATCAACTAGCATTTGTGAAAAGAAACACAAGGATGCCAATTCCATAAATTCAGATCAGTAAACGGCAAACATTGCATGATTTACAATCTCTTGTTAACAACAGGCTGTTACCTACAATCTCTTGCCAACATCTTTAATATTTAGTCTATTAAATACCACCAGTCCCAACCAAAAAAAAAAAAAAAATAAATAAATAAAGAAGAAATTCATGAATATATAAGTTTGTCTCTTGTAATGAGGATTTCATATTTCCAGAGTTCCTGAAATATTAAAACTAGAAACTCTAACTCTACCTTTCCACTTAGCATTTCATATAACAGGATTCCAATACTCCACCAATCAGCATTCTTGTTATGACCTTTAGCTTGTATGATTTCTGGAGCCATATATTCCATGGTTCCACACATTGAATTTGTTCTGCTCGTTTCATCAATTTCTTTTGCAAGTCCAAAATCAGTTAGAACAATCTGCACACAAATCACATTTAGTAAGGAGGCACTATGCCCAAAAAAAAGAAAAAGAAAAAAAAAGGGAAAAGTACCAAAAAGAAATGCATGCAATATTTTAGGAAGCATCCTACTTACATGCCCATCAGCGTCCATGAGAATATTTTCAGGTTTGAGATCTCGATGCACAATCCCGTTCTTGTGAAGATGCGATACAGCAGATACAATTTCAGCTGTGTAAAGTCTCGCCTGATCCTCACTACTCGAAAACATATTTCAAAGCTAGAATTATATCAGTTGAACATGTAGTTTGGTTTATTTAAGCTCCAAAAATAGCATACCTGAAAATCCCCTGTCTGTAGAGATGAAAGAACAGATGTCCTCCATTCAAAAAATCCAAAATCAGATAAAGCTTTGACTTCGTCTGCAGAAGCATATGAGAACATAAATGAATTAAAGCATACTAAAACAGATAAATCAAGTGGCTACTTGGAACATCCTGTTTGCAGAACAATCTCAGTTCTATCAATACTAAGCTCATCATAGTATTTAATATTTTAAACCCTAAATCTCTAACTCAGACAGTCACCTATGACATCCTAAATCACATATAGAATTAGTTATCCCAGACATCTCGAGATTGCAGTAATCACTCCAGCCACGAAAAATCGACTAGCCACTTTCCCGGCAGCACCTCCACACCAAAATGGCCAAGACAGCTCTTACAAATCCGAACATAATATAAGATCACAAAGTCTAAAAGACACAATAAAGGACTAAGCTTTTAAGATGAATGCCTAATGCCATAACTCTCAAATATAACATCCCAGCTTAAATTGTATTAAAATTAGCATGATTATAACTAATTAGATCTAAATTCACTACAATGTTGCAAAACACTAATTGAAGTAGCAATTCCAAAATAACAATAGCAGGATTATTACTACATGCACACAGTTTACAAGGAAATACAACAACCAACTACTATCATCGACTTCGAGTCACGGATTGGAGTTCAATTGTCGCATCACTAGTTCAAATTACAGTATCGAGTAACAACTAATATTCTAGTTCCCTATCATAATGTTCAAAAAAAACATGAATTAAAAAGAGAGGGAAGAAAAGAGGGTACCTGAAAAGAGTACCTAAGCTGAACAATAAAAGGGTGAACAACTTTGGTAAGAATATCCCTTTCAGCAATCATATAATCAACATGATTCTTCTTAATAATATTATCTTTTCTCATAACTTTCATAGCCATAATTCCATCACCACCATCATCACAACCTCCTTTCTTCCTAACCTGAAAAACCTTCCCAAAAGCCCCTTTCCCAACAAGTCTCAAAATCTCAAAATCTTCAGGACCCACCTTAGGAACCATCTCATTTTCTCTCTCCTCCTCAATGCACACCAACTGTTCGATAAAAGTTCCATCATTCTCATCCTTTTTCACCTCGATCTCATCATCATCATCTGTAATCTGGGATATGATTTCTTCAGGAGTTTTCTGAAATGGGTGGAAATTAGGGGGAGTATATCGAGGTGAGGGACCCAGAAAAGAGTGATTACGGTAGTGAATCACAGGTGGGTCCCTCGGATATGTAGGTTGGGAAGAAGAGGAAGATGAAGATTGAGATGGGGTTGGCCCAAAAACATCGGAGAAATCGAAATCTTCAGTGGGAGGTGAAGAAGAAGATGATGGGATTGAAAGGGTTAGTTTTGATGCAAGGATTTTGTGGAGAGATTTGGTGTGTTGTGATGTAGAAACCATTTTAATTGAGCAATTAAATTGGGGGAATTTGATGAAATTGTGGGTTTAGACAAGAAATAGAATCTGGGTGAAGTGAGTGATCCCAGGTAACATGTTACAGAGAGAGGAGAAGTGGAAGAAGAAGAAGACAAGCCGCAAAAGATACAGTAACAAATCTAAGAATATTAGAATATAGTACGATACCAATTATTGTGACTCGGGGAGTCGGGGTATTGCAGATGGTATATTCCAAATTACCGCCTAATCTAATGACAAGGCCGTTTCATACGAGAACTTGCGTTAAAAAAATTACATTAGTAATCGTGTTTCTTGTCAAAAAAAAAAAAAAAAGTAATCATGTTCGATTTATTCTAAAAGTACTTTTTAGGGTTGTTGTATAGAAAAATTAAATAATTTGCTTAATTTGGCAGTAGCAAGTAATGTATCTTAGATTCTTAGCCTTGAATTAAGAGGTTCAATCTTCGCTAGTGACACGTGAGATCTCTTATACTTTTTCCCCTGTTAAGTCAAGCTAAGCTTAACTGTATGGAGTTCGAGTCTGGTAGAAAAGTTCTTATCTACTGAAGTAAAAGTTTTTTTTAAAAAAAATTAATTAAGTTTTGTTGAAGGATTTATACTAGAATGTTGAAAACGATTCCCCTAAAAAAATGATTAATTCATGTACTTGTATGAGTTACTAAATGTGCAAGTTGATCTTTGAATCAAATTTGAGCAAATTAAACCGCTTAACATTTTCGGATAGAAAAAAATTTCGGATTACTTTAGGTTCAGGTTGTAACACCCCAATAATTCTCTCTTAAAAACCTGTAAGTACCTTTAACAATTTGTAAGAGAATTACTGACGTGCTACCGCCACATGTTCAAACGTTAAAGCTAGTTCAGAATTTAGCAGCGGAAAAACTAACTCAGTTATAAATAAGTTTTAAAACCAATAATCAAAACCAAATTTAGTCTTACAAGTCGGAACCATCAAGGCCCTTATTCAAATCCCAACAAAAGTAGTAAATAAATCAAATCAGAGTTAAAATAAATCCAAACTTATGAAATGAAATATACTATGGAAATATCTTATGATTATGTAAATACCTGTGATTAATCTGTTCCCCACTATTACAAGTGTAAAAATTGGTTCATTACAGGGTCATTGAAAAGGCGAAGGCCATGACCAGGAAACAGACACACAAAAGCACGCAATCAGCAATGCTGAGTACATACAAGCTACGAAATATAACAAAGAATCCCTAGCATGCTACTAAAAATCAATCAGCACACAGCCACACACAATTTAATTATTGACTCAAACACATGCCTCAACTGTTAACATTATTAAAACTTCACTAATTACTAACAATAATTCATTTCATTTCATTTCATTCATTGATTGGATTCAGCAATAGACAAGGTTGTCTCCCCATGCTCCATTTCGGAACATTAATAAAAGAAAAACCCCATACCTTCTTTCGGAAACATCAATAAACATCCAATGGCAGACGGGCGCGACTCCGTGGCCATAGCTAGTATGAGATCTCATCTAACTCCTTATAGTTTTATAAAATATTTGAAAACAAGAGACTCGTAGATCAGGCGGCCTCTAAAAAGTACACGGTTAATACCCCGTGAATCCCAACCCCTGTTTGTCAATACTCTAGATGTGCACAAATCTAGAGTTTTATTGCTCATCCATATATCTTGCACTTTACGTGATTTACAAGTTTAAACTTGGTGATGACTCAAATGCAAAACAATACAACCAACCATACATCAATCACTCAAACGATTCAAATTTCCAATTCAATTCTTGATTATTGATTCAAACCATTGAAATAATGCCTTTAAATTGTTTCAATAACAAAGTTGATAATTTAATAGTTCAACTAGAAGTTTATATGCTAAAATCATGAAAATATAGCTTATAACATGAAATTCCAGTAACTTTAAGGTAAGAACATAATCTGAAAATGTAGTTTAAAATTATAAAACAACCTTACAGACATCTCTACTTGAAATAATCATTATGTAGTAGGTTAGTATGTTAAAAACCTAAAAATCTATAATAAAACCATGATTTAAAACCTTTAAAACCAAGATTAAAAATTTGAAAATTTAATTTAATTTAATTTAATAGTAGAATGTATGAATACAACAATCTAAACTTGAAATATATAAGTAGAATTCAATTAGTTTCATAAAGCTCAATCAAACCTGTAAAATTCAATTAAACAACACTTTAAAACCTTACTTTTTGCTAGAATTAAAAGCTTATATATTGTTCTTTAAGTTTCCTATATAAAGACCTTAAACTACATACTTATATATGGAATGAATTACATCAAGTTTAAAGTTCAATAAAAATCTGAAAATTTATTTTATACATGAAATCTCAAAATTATAGTAATCTTTAAAACTACCTACATTATATATTAAGTTAGTAGGCTTTTAACCCAAAATTCACCAATTCAACGCATTTAGAGGCTTCAAAACCAATAACCTAAAAATCTGAAAAATTATTCTTGCAATTAAACTTTAAACTTCCAAACTTTATAATAATAAAATAACCACAACCTTTGTTTAATGAAGTTAGACTTGAAACACATAAAATTAATACAATTTAAACCCAAGATTAAAACTTTAATAATCTGAAAATTTATTTATCATCAAAATATTTGACTTTTAGCATAAATTAAACATAGTATAACCAAATGACTTTAGCAACATGTTTTTAGGCCCTAAAACCATGAAAATCAAGTTTTAAACCCTAATTTTCTTAACTAAATAAATCTGAATATTCATTCAATAAATTAAACATAATAAAAATCATAAATTTGAAATCTTTAGTATTAAATAAACACTTTTAACTCATAATAACAACAATTTAAAACCAAAAACTAATAAATATCAAAACTTGGAATAAACTAACAAAAGAGAGAAAGAAAGAAGGAAGAAGAGGGAAAGGGGGCTGCCAGCAGTGGGCAACGTCGCCGAAGGTCATGTGGCCGACGGTCGACAGTTACGCGGCGTGGTGGCAGGCGGCAAAACAGAGCAGCCGTGAGAAAAAGTGAGAACCAATCTCACGTAAGGAAGGAGGAAAGAAAAAGAAAGAAGAAAAAAAAGAAAAAGGAAAGGAAAAAAAAGAAAAAGAAAGGAAAAAAAATAAAGGGAAAATAAAATACAAAAAATAAAGGGAAAATAAATAAAGACTAACCTTTTTGTGTGGGGAAAATTTGAGGATTCATGGGGTATTTATAGGAGAAAATTGTAGGATAGAGACATCATGAAAATAATAGGCCAATTAAATAAACAAATGGGTTAGACTTTGTTTTTATGATAATGGGTTGTAGGATATAGGTTCATAAAATATTTAGCCTAAAATAATTTTTGACCCAATTAATAATTTGAATCTTTTAAAATTAAATTATGGAAAACTACAAATAAATATTATAAATAAAATAAAATTTCATTTATAAAATATTTAAAAATATGGGGGAATTACACAGGTTAATTCTTGTCATGTTAGGCCATATCCAATCATGTTGCCCCAAGGTTTGATGTTTTATCATATTAAATAAATCATTATTGCTTATCGTATGTTAATTGTTAAGTAAACTAAAATTGCACTTTAGTTTGGGAAAAGTTAAATCAAGTCAAGTGATTTTGGGTAGAGCTCATATTTTAAGTCAACTAATTGAGCATAGATCAACTTTTCCTACTCTACAAATAACGGTGAAGTAATATTTAAAACCTAGAAAGACTTGTCCAAGTGGAAATAATTGCAATTGTTGTGAGATCCCACTACGAGACACGCACTTTAAGATAGATATTTCCTTAACAAACTCCCCTTCCACCCACAGTTCCCAAAAGGCTTATACTACTAACCAACCCACATCGGGTTCACTTGTGCTACATTTTGACCCCATAGGACCTCTAAACTAGACCTTGTTATTGGACATGGGGGACATGGTAGTCCAATGATAATAGGGTCATAACCAAGCTTATAAAGCCCTTAATGGATAGAATCTGTATTAGGTATGGTCAATATAAAGCCAAAATGTTTGTCCAATTTAATACATACAGAAAATAGATAATGTAAAAAAATTTACATACAATTATCGCTTTATCCAATATTTATTGTAATTGATATTTTGTTGGTCCGCCTATAATAAACCCGCTATTGTCCCGCGACCTACATTGGCAAGACCTGCTATTGGCCCTATAAAATGTGACCCTCTTTGACCCGACACGCACCAACCCTGACCCGCCCCGCCCAATAACCTAGTCTACTAATAACCTACCAAAAAAAAAAAAAAAGAAAAGAAAAGTAATAAACAAACATTTTAGATAAATTTTCTAAAATTGATAGCCAAAGAAAGGACTTGGTAGATTACTAGATTAGCATTTTTTTTTTTTTTTTTTTTTTTTGGTATTTAGAGAGCCACAAGGGCAAGTGATGAGAATCGATCCCATGATCAACTGGATCCGAAAAAGGAGCTCTAACCACTTGAACTATCCCTCACTCTCAGATTACTAGATAAGTGATAGATGTAAAACAAACAAGATTTACTTGTACTCCGTATATGATACGAGTAAATTGCACTATCAAGAGAGAGATTTCTCTTTTGGCTATGATTTGTATACGCAAATTGCAAACCACAAAATGATTACGACAACAGATAAACCACACTGAGGTATTTCATTGGCACTTTTCATAGTAAAGTAATAGATACAAAAAAGAAAAAACAAAACCTTCATCTCACCTCTTTCCCCCAAACCACAAGCTCTAAACATTGTGGGCTACTTCGTATATATAACATGAATCAATAAAAATGAACAATAGATACAAAATGGAGCATATAAACCTGCTCTACAAGGGCCTCCTGAAAACAGCCCCTCAATTTGTGTAACTCTATCAGCAATAAGCTGTGCAAATCTTAATATTGGAACATTGTACTATACTCTCTGAACCATATTTAATTCTAAGGGTTTCAAAGCATCTTGAACAATATCTTGGACTGTCCGATTGCGCCGGCAAACATCTGAGAGTTCCTCAATTGGAGCCATTATAGCATTAGTATTAGCCCCAGATGCTGCATCAGACAATGCTTGCAGGAATGTTGAGCTCTCAACTTCTGTCACTGCCGTTTTTGGAATCAATGAAACACTTTCCTTGACCCATTCCAAAGCTTTTACTTGATAAACACGAACTAATGCCAAAAGTGTATAAGTTACCTGAAATATAAAAGGGTCAACTTAGCTTGTCTAAATATTAGGAATTTAGAGTGTGATTTTGAAGATTTAGGTGAAACCAAAAATTAGGAAGTTTGGTGTTAAGAATCCATCAATGGGGAAGAATATATAAAAGGGAACTAGAGTAGGACTATGAGTGTATTTTATTATCAACGATATATGATCACAGTGGGAGTTTGGACCTCGTTATGTTCTCACTTCAAAACCAGAAATTGTCTAATCTAAATTCTTAATTTATCAGAACCAGCTTATATTTGGT